AAAAACTCCAAACAATTTTTTTTTCTTTTTCCTTCTTTTTCTCTCTTCTTATGGGCAAACAAGTGCAACATCACACCTTCTTAAACAACTAAATAGCAGTGGTGTGGTGGATCGGTCAGATCGACTTTTTCCTTGCAAACAATCAATACCAATTAACAAATCTAAAACGAACGACGCCAATTAACCCTAAGAGGCCACATTGTGACTAACTTATTTCTCAAACTAAATTACAAGCTCTATTTATAGAGTAATAAACCTAAGAAACCCTAATGTGTAAATGCCAAAAATACCCTACTACAAAATCAAATCAAATCTCTAATTAATTTCCTAAATAAACCTAATAAATTCCAACACCCCCCGTCTAACTGATGGCGGAACACGACATGGGTTTGCCAAAGTAGATGTGGATGCAAGACTTCAAATTCCAGTGTCAATACCAATGCCAATGCCAATACCGATGCCGATGCCGATGCCAATGCCAATACCAATGTCAATGCTAATGCCGATGCCAATTATGAACTTCCAAACAAACCTCAGCAAACAAACAAAAAAAAACATATTTTTTCTTTGCCCGTGTGAGGGCCTAAAAAACTCCAAACAATTTTTTTTTCTTTTTCCTTCTTTTTTCTCTCTTCTTATGGGTAAACAAGTGCAACATCACACCTTCTTAAACAACTAAATAGCAGTGGTGTGGTGGATCGGTCAGATCGACTTTTTCCTTGCAAACAATCAATACCAATTAATAAATCTAAAACGAACGACGAAAAAGGCAAACAAATTGATACCAACAAGAACGGATTGAACCCTAAGGATCGAACCCACTATGATACCAAGTTGAATATCAGAGTGCGCAACGAACAAAACTACAAAATAATAAGAATATTATTAAACAAACTGAGAATGCCGAAACGGTTACAAAACCTTTAGAGACTACATTGTGACTAACTTATTTCTCAAACTAAATTACAAGCTCTATTTATAGAGCAATAAACCTAAGAAACCCTAATGCGTAAATGCCAACAAATACCCTACTACAAAATCAAATCAATCTTTAATTAATTTTCTAAATAAACCTAATAAATTCCAACATGTTCTGGTTATGAGAATTTCCAGTTGACCAAAAAAAAAAACTTATCCATCATTATGGGACTAAAAAGTGGATAGATCATTTGTGTTTTGTCCCTTTTCAGATATGCCGATTTATGGCTTTCGATTTCATCTTTTGGTTGTTTTGTGTTGTGTATTCATTGAAATTACAATATTATGGGCACAGCTGTAATGCAACTTTGTTCAGTTTATATTTCAAGTCGGCTTAGTCACAAATATCTTTGCCTTTGGTAAAGATATTTGCAAAGCGTAACGTTGTTGTCTGGATAGGTAAGCTTGAATTAACAAGATATTATTTTGGATAAGATTTGATGACACTATGTTCTGGCTGGCCTAGGGATATTTACACTGCCAAAAGACTATCTCAGAGGTGACTTGGATTGACATGACCCAAATGCGATGGACACCATGTACCTGATTGGATTAGCCATTCAAACGTTTCGATTGTCTTAGCTCACTTTCACACTCATTAACGTAAACATGATTGTTAAAAAAAAATTAGCTACTCCCAATAGCTTTTATCGACAAAGTTGTTTGGCATCTTGATATCTACTCATCACATCCTGGTGGAGTTGATGACAGCCCAAGGGTTTAGAAACGTTCGTTACTTGCTGATTGAAGTGGCATGCCAGTTGGATTCAAAATCTCGTGAGACGATTCAAAATCTCGTGAGACGATCTTTTTATATATCTCTGTTAGACCATCTGTAGCTTTTAAGGATAAAGCTTAAAAATTTAAGTTAAAAAATTTTAAGTCATAACTCAGAACTTTTGTGGTTTAAAACTTTTGTCCGAGATTATTAAATAATGATTTTAGCATTTTTTATAACTTTCTTAAAAATAAGATTTATGTTAATTATCCTAATTTATTTTTATGAACATTTCAATCTAAAAATCATACAAATAGATAGATATTTATAAAGTTTACTGTGAAATTTGATTGAAATAATTTTGTAAAATTATTTTAGACATTAGATTTAATTGTGGACTGTCAAATCTCTTTTTTTTTTTTTTTTATTGCCGTAAGGTTTGATCTTATTTGATCACAGCTGTTGGATTATAAGTAAAAAATAAAATAAAAAGTTTGAAATATGACAGTTTGGTAGGTTCATAATAGTTTAAATCCTAAGAGGAATTTAGTCTCATAACTTATTTTAGCCCAATGATTGGAGATGGTTTTGGGGGAAGATTTTAAAATTTATATTTAAAATTTTATCACATGAGTTGAAGATGATCTTTAATGTTAATGGGAGAACTTGGAGCCAACGTTTGGTAAAAGTGGTTAATGGGAGGAGAGGCCCAATCACCTTAGGATAGCTGCTGTGGGGTTTATTAACGGTTTCAAAGCCCATGCCACCATTACCCCCAAGGAAAACTAAAGGAAAAGAGCCCAATTATGCTCATTTTCTTTTAGAGAAATGATAATCACTTACTATTTTTCTCGTCTTATACACCTTTCTTTATTTCTTGTTATCAAATTGAACAAGTCAAATAAAAATAACGGATAAGATTAAATATAAGTGCGGCACAGAAAAATGGTATGCAGTTATCATTTGTCTTTGTGTTTATAATCGTGTGCTGAACCCTCTTGTCAACTTCTTTGGAAAAACAATGGGTCTGGTAGATATTAAAGAAACATGCAAAGGCTCCCGCTTGAGCTAAAAGCATGTTTGCATTCCTTTTCACTTTTATACTTGGAATCAAGAACACAATGATGTTCAATTGGGCCAACCATTTCTTTAATGAGGCCAGGCCCAGGCCTTTCTTTTCTTTTTCCCTTCTTTTTCTTATACAAACTAGGGGTGTTATATCCACACATCCCATTTTACTTCTCACACACTTTTTTAATTTTTGGCCTTCGGATCGGATGAATTGAAGAAGATCAACAGACATAAATTATCAAGATGTGTGTGAGAAGTAAAATGAGGTGTGTGGATAACACATCCCTACAAAATATTATTCAACTCTAAAGTAATCTAAATTGCGGGAAAAAAAAAAATTAGACTTCAAATGATGGTAAGGGCCTAAGGGGTACATTTGGTCCACAAAAATGGAAAATTGAGAAGTATTTTTTTTTTGAATTGTTATTGGATCCCCAAAAATTTATTTGTGCACTCCTTATAAGTGTATTTTTCTTGCTAAATATAGAAAGTTTAGAGTTCACAATTGATTTTTGAAGTGCCAATATTTTTTTTTTCATTACAATAACAATTATGAGAAGACTGCATTAATTATGTTTTCGATGAAGGAAATACCAAAACAAAAGTATAAAATTTACAGAGTATGATTATTTAACAAAGAAAAGTGGAATTACACATGCGATTTGAAGGGATCGAAACTAGATAAATGATATAAAACTATAATTTTCAAACTTCAATTAAAATACAGGATTGAATTTAAGGAAAACTAATGAAGATGATTTGAAAACTTTGAATTTTAATGATAAGGACAAAATAAAGGGTAAAATGAATAGTACCAGGTTTGACTTTTTAGTGTAATATGATTTTTTTTCATTAAAGTGAACAATACCGTGACTTTTCGTTAAAACTCCCTTGAATTTAATCATATTTGATTTTCATCGATTTAACAATTGAATTTAATCTTATTTCATTTTACTTAATACATGCACACCGTCAAACGGTCAAATATAAACAGATATGATACATTCTCCTTATTTCATTTTACTTAATACGTTATCCTTATTGTCTATCATTTCTGGCGGTATTGCTCGGAAATTTTGCGGAGCTTCTTTCTGATGGTTGGCTTCTCTCTCGCTGACTGTCTCTTGTTGATGGTTGTGTGCAAGTCGCGCCTATGGAGGGGATGATCTGCGGTGGGTGGAGGATCGAGTGGCTGGCAGATTCTCGGATCGGCGGTGGCAACCACAATGGATAGTTCTTGGTTGTTCGTTTTTGTTTGGGCTTCACTGTTGTTGGGCTCTTTTTCTGTTTTTCTTTGTTTTTAGGCTCGATTTCTGTTTGTTTTTAGGAATAAATTGGACATTTGTGTGGTTTGTAAATGTGTGTTTATTTTAATAAAAGTTCCTCGTCGGCGTTCATTTTGGATCCCACTTCCAATAGAAAATCTCATATACCCAGCAAATATGCTGCTCTTCCGAGTCAAAATTGAAACGACAGTCGGATGCAAATGTAAAGCTCATGCTCATTTACAAGTGCCGAATTGTTCTTGAGAAAACAAGGCGTGGGTCAACGGCTTCCCACCGCTAGCCATCGGAGTGGGAGAAGAAAAAAGACTGCAGAGGTTTGGAGACGAAGGAGACTCTGGGTTTACGTGATATATAAAGCCCGTTTACGACATGCTTTACGCTGGGGGATCCTTGAGGGTTCTTCCAAATACAAACCATTAAGATGAAGGAGCGGCGAGTGGAAGTTCTACTGTCTATAGAGCCATCATACTCGAGCATATCTGGATACAACTACATCAACTATCTGAGACGTATGTAGAAAGTTTAGTTTCTCAAATCCGTCTTCAGAACCAAAGAATCAACACATGTGGAGGCTCTAGGTTGTTTGTCCAATTCTAAATTGTAGTTTGTGCAAATTTTCGGCTTTTTCTGTTCAACTGTACTGCAGTTGGAGAATTTTAGCTCTCGACTGTATCCTATGAACTATATGGTAGTTGGGACTGAAAGTGTTGTTGAAGCAGAATCATGAAAGTTTGCTGTAAAGCTAGTACTGATTGATTCGATCATAGTAACTACACTCAACTTATACTTTTTTTCAACGATATGATTTACGTACACTTTTTTTTTTCTCTTCCTGCACACTCTTATTTATTTGTTCTTTAATTCGCTGAGAAAGAAAAGGTGCAGAAATCACTTCCTTTCTTTCCCCCCTCTGAAAACACATGTTTCAAGAAATTACTATGAAATGATGGGCAAATCCAATCAACCAGTAAATGTATTTAGGGATTTCCATATATTCCCATCTAAAAGCACAAGAGGATGTATAAGGAAGTAAAACATTGAGAAAAACCATCGAACTTGTAAGAACACACCACAAACATGAACTTATTTATCTTTTCGTGTCATTGAGGCACATCTGTTAATGTCTAAAATACTCATAATGTAATCGAAGCAAATAGATATATCTTCCGTTCTAAGGCATATACTCTCCTGTTAGGACAAACCAACCAAACCAAACCACAAACTTCAAGTTGGCTTCAGATCCTGAAACAGTGCAGTCCGAAGTGAATGATCATCATAATCAACATCCTCCCTTTCCTTCTTGTAAGGAAAGCAAAACTTTGGGCTCACAACTCTCCCATCCAACGGCCCAGAAAGTCTTGGACTTTTATTTGTAGCCATGATCATCTCGTACGTTCTTCCATCCAACGGTCCAGATAACTTGGGACTCGGACTTGCAACCAAAGAACTGGTCAGCCTTGGGCTCCTATTTGTGTACATCAACGTCTCATGAACCTTCCTATCCAACGGTCCCGATAGCTTCAAGCTCCGATTATTATGAGCCATCAATCTCTCCTGGACCCTCCCATCCAACGGTCCAGAAAGCGCAATGCTCCTAGTTTTGACCAACATAGGGTTCTCATCCTTGACCTCCTCAGAATAACTCTTGTGCTTCCTCAACAAAGCTCCTCTCCAATGCTCTTGATACCGAGTTGGCTCGGTCTGAGTTGCACCCTTGCCGTCCTCATGAAAAACGAACTTGTTAAAGTACTTGGAGAAGCACTTCTTGGTCCGAATGAGCGCCCAACTAAGCCGAGAAAGCGATTTCGGGTGTCCAAATCCGGTTTCTTTCTTGGCAAGCTTGAGTATTTCTAGCCTGTGCTTGGCCACAGATATTCCCATGCTCTGAAGAAACTCGTGGTCTAAGTATCTCACGTCGTCGAGCTGCAGCTGGTTGTGCGAAAAGTCGAGGCCGTATTCGTAGATGAGGGAGGGTTCAAGGCCGGTTTTTGACAGCCATGAGAACCAGTCCATAGCTAGCTTAGATTAGCTAAAATGTGCCTGAGGGGTTATGTTCTTATGTGGTATTACATTTATATGAGGAGATGACGATATAAACTGGTAAAATGGGAAGTGAAAATAAATAAAATTTAATGTGGTAGGTAAATAATGGGGGCCTCGCTCAATTTGTAGAAAATTTGGATGGTAGTTGGTATTGAATGTGACATTTGCAATATCCAGAAAGTTGAGCATGAGCAGCTCTTAACGACCTCCTGATCTAGATTCTATAATTCCAAAATTGTTGAAAACATTGGCATTGTTATGAATGCCCACACACAGATTTTTCAACGCCCACAAATATGATGTAGACTTTGGAAACAAAAGGATCGTATTTTCAAAGTTATGTATTGTAAATTTCATAATGTAAGAATCTGTTTGTATGGAGTTGCTCTGTAAATAGAGCGCTCCGACTGCTATCAATACATATAGACAAGAAAGAAAAGATCAATAACATCAGTATCTATTCCTCCCTCTTTTACTTGTCATCTCCTTGTGTTATAGTTACAGTGTAATATTTTATACCTGCCTCGCTCCAGTCACTAGTAAATGTTATCTCTCTAACTTTTACATATTTATAACAAAATAAGGTTATGACATGAATACTCGTAAAAGGAGAAGTCGTGAATCTGAAAAGTAAAAAGTGTCTAAGTGGATAAATAAGATTGAGTAGTAAAAGTATTTCGGTTTTTAAATTTTCATATGCTTTATTAACAATATATGAAGTTATTCTCGTATCATAATCCGTAATCCGATACTTACATATTCCAAAAGATTGATTAAGAGGAAGTAGTTGTATCTCATTCATATTTCCTCTCTCCTCTATTCATGGCTTCCTTGTCTTTGATTTACCATATTCTAAGTAGGCATGTACATGCCAAATACTTGGGATTTTAAGTATTAGATAACGCATTGTAACTCAGATACTTCATATTTTATTATTTCATATGTTTTAGTATACACGTGCAAAACCAGAAAAACAGAATAACTCTAATAATTAATTGTACAATAATACGGAGCACAAGTCCAAATTACAGTGTGAGATTGGGCAGGTAGGATTGATGAAAACTTAAAGCTAAAGCCTAAGGTTATAGGGCCCAAAAATAATTGGGAGCAGTTAGGATATTAAATCGGATAACCTACTAAATTATTAAGGCAAAATTCAACACACCAGATTTTAAGGGCCCCTATAACTTTTAGTTAGTCCCTCTCTTCTTTACTATGAGCTGTTTTACCTGCTCGACTGTGATAATGTTTCTCCCAAAAACGTAAAACAGATACGACTTAACAACCTACTACAAATCTGCAATATTCTTTTAATCACATTTAATTTGTCAACCTACCATTACATCATATGCCAGCATAACTAGAAACGCAAAAGAGTCGCATATTAATATAAAAGTGATGCTAAGAAGATCAAAATTTTAAATCATCTTTTATAGATCACAGTATTGACTAACATCCCCAACACCATCATTGCAATCTCTCAAAATGTGAAGGACAGTTTCAGAAGGCCAAGCACAAGGAACGGCAAGATAAACATCATACAAAATTCCTTTCCAAGTCGAAGAGCTGTCGCGTCGAGTTACAAACAGAACAACCCATCAAATACTTTAGCTAGGAGAGCCTTTCATGGCCAAACTTTGTAATTAGTATTTTCATCAATATTTTACCAAGCTTTTACATATAAAGCATATGAAAACGTGCAGCTATGGTCCCTCAAGAGAGAATTATCAAACTTAAGTCTCTAGTATCACGTTGGAAAAGGAAGCAAGGCAGATAATTGAGATATTTCGGATAACATGAGTACAATAAGCGTGACAATATTTGGCAAGGTGTATAAATAATATTTTGTTACCTATTAAGTTTTAGGAATATTTTAGAATAGATTACTTAGGGCATGTTTGATATCCTATTTGAAATTTTTTATCATTTCTCAAAACATTTCTTAAGAACATTTATTGAAAACAATTTTCTTTAAGACTAAAAAACTTGATTGGTTTGCGATTTAAAATTTTTAAATCACGACTTAAACTAGACAAAGAGATCTAAAAAGAGGGGGTTGCATGAGAGGGAGAAAGAGGAGAGAGCAGAAAAGAAAGTAAAAGATGATTGAAGGAAAGAGACCCAAACCATTGATCTAAATGTGAAAAATCCACTGAGAACACACAACCCAAACCCTTAACTAACTTTTTGAAAAACCGTTACATGTAGTCAGTCAAACCCCCTAGAAAGCCACCCACTTTTCCCGCTCCAAAACCGTACACATTTCGTTCCATCATCTCTCCCTCTCACCCTCTCCTCGTTATAATCTCCACTGCTTCCAAATTTGACAAGAAGAATCTCTCTCACCCCTTTAATTTAATTCTCTGTATTTTTTCGTCTCTAAACTTCGAATCTAAATTTCCACTAGCTCGCCACTTATACTTCACAAGCCATAACGCTAAAGCCATAGATTCATAGTATGTTTACTAGGGCATCTTCGAGGGAATCCTCACGGTCCATCCACCGGCTTCTTTCGGGTGTTAAACGCCTCAGCTCTCGTCCTCCGTTCAACAAATCGCAACCCTCGTCCTCGGTCTCTCCGTCACCATCTTCTTCTTCTTCTTCTCGGGACCAGCCTAAGGTTTTCCTATTTGTCTTCTTCTCTGGATCCGAATTCCTACGTGTATTACACTGATAATAATCCAAAAGAAGCTGCAGCATGGGCAATCGGCGAAGATCCTAAAGAAAGTCAGTTCTCTCATTGATGGTACCTTGTTTGTTTCATTGTTTTTCTTCAACTTAACCGTATATCTGTTAACGTGAGTGGTATTAAAAAGGGTATGTAATTATATTGTAAATATTAGAATCCTTTATTAGGAAGGTTAGTTTATAGAACAAGGATTGTATCTTGTATATATTGTCTATTATGCAATACAATAAAAATTAAGCCGTAAAATTCTATTTGGCATCAGAGCCAAGCGTAACCCTAAAGTTCCCACCGTGCCGCTGCTACCGTAAAACCAGAAGAAAAAAAAACAAATCTCTGCAAATCTGTGATCTCTGCTGCAACTCTGCAGCGAGTCAAGACTGCCAGTGTGTGTATTGTTGCTGTCGTGGGAAACAAGAATCACAGCAGGTTTAATTTTTGTTTTTTTGTTTTTGTTTTTTTTTTTGTTGCTGCCTACCTGCAGCAAGACCAGTTGTCGTGCAGTGTGTGTTTGTTCTGCAATTGCTGGGATATATGCCGTGTAAGAGTTACAGATGTGGAAGCTTTCTGCTGCTGCCGTGAGTAAGTCAAACTGTGCAACCGTGTGTTTAAAAAAAAAAAAACCGACTGCTGTGTACGTGTGTGTATTGTGTGGTAGTTAATGGCGAGTGACGAAGGAGAGGTTGGATTGAAATTGGAGGGTGGGGCGTCTGGCTCTACCCACGGGTGTGTTGTCGATCCGGTGGTTATTCAAAGTGATGCTTCGACCACTCCAGGTAGTATGGGGCGTGTTCTTTTAGCCTTTGATATGGAACATCATACAGGTTGGATTCTAGACTCGGGGGCAACCGATCATATGACTTTTGATAAGAATCTATGTACTAGTTTGACAACCAGTTCACGGAAGTGTATTGCAACTGCTAACAGAACAACATCACCGGTTTTGGGGGTCGGCACTGTGAACCTCACACCGGCCCTTCCCCTTCAACATATGGCAGTGTATGTAACTATGGATGTTACCTTTTCCGAATCCGAGTTCTTTTATGCTTCGACTCCATCACCTTCCGATCACCTGGGGGAGAATATGAGTGGTGATCTTGGGTGGTTGGAAATATGTAGCTCAAGGGGAGTATTTATTGACAAAAAAAGTTGTGAAAGCTCTCGGCAAGACACTGCCGAGAATGGAGACAGTGAATCTCGGCAAGACACTGCCGAGAATGTGAGTATCATTCAACCAAGTAGCACTGAACCAGTTGAGTCTTCTAGGCAATGTGTTGCCAAGTGTGATGCAGAGTGTCAGCAGGGAGTTGCCGAACCAATTTCACCGCTCCAACAACCATTAGCTACCGAACCTGCAACCCCCTCTCTCTCAAGCTCAATAGTGCTACCCAATATATCTTCTCTGAATATTCCTGAGGTAAGTACTACTGATACTCATGTAACTAATCCAGATAATATTATGAGTACATATAAGTTGCCGCCAAGGCAAAATCGTGGTGTTCCTCCTGACAGGTTTTCTCCTGAAGGAAAAGTGAAGTATCCAATAGCTAATTATGTGTCATGCTCAAACCTTGCACCATAACGTCAAGCCTGGGTAAACAATGTGGAAGCAATCCAAGCACCAACCCGAGTTGAGGAGGCCTTGAAGGATCCTAAATGGGCTACTGCGATGGATGAGGAAATGATGGCACTACATAAGAATGATACATGGGAGGTAACAGAGCTACCTAAAGGAAAGAAACCAGTTGGGTGTAGATGGGTCTTTACGATCAAATACAAGGCAGACGAATCGGTAGACAGGTATAAAGCAAGGTTAGTAGCAAAAGGTTATACTCAAACTTATGGTGTTGATTATCAAGAGACATTTTCTCCAGTAGCGAAGATGAATACAGTACGAGTTCTGATTTCTTTAGCTGCAAATTTGAATTGGCCACTAAAACAGTTTGATGTGAAAAATGCTTTTCTTCATGGGCACTTGGAAGAAGAAGTATATATGGATTTTCCTCTGGGGTACGATGCCAGAGGGAAAACCGGAGTATGTAGGTTGCGAAAGTCACTCTATGGACTTAAGCAATCGCCTCGTGCGTGGTTTGGTAGATTTACCCAAGTTATGAGGCGGATTGGGTATTATCAAAGTCACTCAGATCATACATTATTTGTGAAACGAGAAAGTGGTAAAGTGACAACCTTAATTATTTATGTGGATGACATGATAATAACAGGTGATGATTCGGAAGAGATGATGAAGCTAGAACAAAACCTTGCCATCGAGTTCGAGATGAAGAATTTGGGAGATTCGAAATATTTTCTTGGCGTGGAAGTTGCTCGGCCATCTAGA